AGCCATTGTCCATGCAGATTAAGGAACAAGTTACTTGACAAGTACTTTCCTATTGTCCTATTTACACATGCAGTTTCCATGTGCATATAAAATGTGTCACTTACATTTGCTTTGTTATTTTCCAAGAGCAAGGGGGATTCTTTAAATGTAATACTACCTGAATTTTTATTGCTGAACTAAATACCTTTTGATAGAGATTTGCTGAAACATTACTATAACTTAAGGCCTACTGAGATTTGCTTTCCTTTTTATTTCTATATTTCAAAAGCCAGCTGTGTCAACAATAATTTGATTCATCTATTCAAATGTGGCTTTTTAAAAATAATTCCTGAAGAAACTTTAAGAATTGGCATCATCTTTTCCTAGTACATGGACAAGTGAACATGCAATATTAATTTGTGATGTGCTTTGTAGATACTTTGCACATTTTTAAATGGCACATTGGGTTGCCAACCTCAAAGTATTCCAAAAGTATAGTATCTGATCAGATTTGCAATTCTAGGATTTGGTTATTTCAAGACAGTATATACAGAATGTATACTTGTCATCACTCATCACTCCTTATCACCCATCCCCTTCCACTTGTGATTGTAGGACTGTAACTTTGTTGCTTGTATCCTAACGATTTATATTGACTGTTTCCTAGTATGATTTGATTGTTGATTGTACCCTATGACTATCATTAAGTGTTGTACGTTATGATTCTTGATTCTTAAGAAATGTACCTTTTCTTTATGTATACTGAGAGTATTTACACCAAGACAAATTCCTTGTGTGTCCAATCACACTTGGCCAATAAAGTATTCTATTCTATTAGCAGCGGATATCATAGCCTACTTTGTCCTTGATGTTCCCAGATGACAGCACCTCATGACACCTAGAAGAGTCATGTATTATACTAAGGATAGTTCCGAAAGATCTGTGTGATATGTAGATCAGTCTGTGGGGTAAAGTGACTTTTGACCATTTTTCACACTTATGACTGCAGCATCCCCATGGTTACGTGATTTACATTTGGATGCTTGACAACTGACCCACAGTTATGATGCTTGCAATATCATGTGATCATCTTTTGCAACCTTCTGACAAGCAAAGTCAATGGGGAAACCAGAATTACTTAACCATGTTACTAATTTAAGAACTGCAGCGATTCACTAAACAAATGTGGCAAGAAAAGTCGTAAAATGGGGCAAAACTCACTTAACAAATTTCTCACTTAGCAAGATAAATTTTGGGCTCAATTGTGGTCGTAAGTTGAGGACTACATGTATTAAATACTTCTAAAATGTCATTCTAGCATTCCTTATTGTAAGAATAGGTCAATACTGGTCTTTTTCTCTTGTTTATTTTTCAGTAAAAAAGTCTTGTACTCTATTTTGCAGTTCTTCTTTCATTGTCAATTCCTTTAAATAAATGAATTTTTGTGATTCTCTTCGTACTTTCTTTGCCTAAATAGTTCTTGTCATTCTGAACAATGCCTAGGTATTATATACAATTAGAGCTGATGGAAAATATTTGTACCTCGGGTGGCAGATGTTGGTGGTGGTTTGTTCTCCGAGCTCCTTCAACTGAAGTTCCGTGGAAGATGTTACTGAGCCTGGGTACGAAACATTTGGAAGCCAAACAGCGAGCTTGGAGAACAAACCACCACAAACATATTATATACAACGCCTAGAGGAAGTACATAGCATATTAAAATATCACAGACATTTCATACTTTGCTTAAAAACCTCAGATTTCCTAGGCATTCTATACAATGCCAGCTTTTTACACATTGTTGGTAACATATATTTGCCAATAGCCAGTAATGGTGCCTAACTAGTTAATGCCTTAAAGCTGCTTCAGTAACCTTGTAGGCTCCACATGCTAAACCCAAAACAAGTAAGAGTCACTGTGGTTTGATGTTATATTTGAACCTGGCTGCAGAATTCCAGGTAACTTTTAGCCAGCCTTAGCAAGATCTATCTCAGAAGGTTGTTGAACTGGATATTGCCTTGAATTCCTGGGATGTAAATGGCAGGTTTCACATATCACAAAGAAATCCACATTTTGTTCAAGGGAAATATTTGTCAAAGCTGATTCTGTTTTATAAAGGTCCAAGTGACGAGCATTGCTGCATCCTTATTTGTTTAGTTAGGGTGACCCTTTCCAAGTGGGCATTTGAACAAATATATGCCACTCTGCTTAGTGTCCTGTTGTTTCCAATTATCCTTCAATGACACTGACAGGGTTGAATGGCAGAGCTGGAAGCTTGTGACTGGACGTATCCATGGCAACCCTTGGGATGGAACATCACCTCTCTCAAGGCCGCTTTGGTTGCTTACTGAGAAAAAGAAACCAATATTTCATCACAAGCTGATTTGTTTTTAAAATAGCTACCTGTAGAACTTCACGTTGCTGCTGGACAAAGGATTTAGTTGTTGTGGGGAAGAAATGCTTTTGTCAAATGTATTGTCCAACTTCCATGCTCACTAAGTCTAGGTGAAATGCTCTTTAATTTCTTCTGCATTATTGTGGGTAATTTCCAGAGTAATTTGCACCCAGCACATTCCCAGTTAATCCCTGTGTCACAATTACCTTAGAGAAGCAACATACACTATTCAGTACAGCTTACAAGACAGCACCATTCAGTTCAGCTTTTTTTATTGTATAAGGAATCAATCAATTAATCAATCAATGAAAGGCATAGAATTTTCAAGGATCACTTGGAAACAATTAGCATGGATGTTCTCAAAGCCTTTGGATGATCTAGCTTTAACCCTTTAACAGTAAGATAAAGATGGAAATAGGATACCAGGTGATCCTTCTCCTATTCTGCACTATTAAACAGTCTGGTGGATGAGGATAATATATCCCACAAGTCCCTCTTTCCTACAAATAGCAAATGAGAGAAAGTGGCTGAAATTGATGAGAACATTAGGTGTGCATTTTTCCTTAAAAATTAGTTATAAAATCTGGTAATTTAAAACATATTTCCTCATAGGAGAAATTAAAATAGTGTAGCATTTCAATTAATTTTGATGGTGTTGCATGCACATTCTATTTAAAACTGACAAACTGATCCAGCATTTGAGACTAAAAAATGCTAAATTGTAAAAAGGTGTCAAAATTATTTCTGGCACACCTTTAATTTTCATAATGTGTGAAAAATGGAAGCAAAAGTAAGAATCAAAAGTACAGACATTCAAAAGTTTAAGATCTGAAAAGTGTAATACAAGTATTAAAACTGTTAGATGAAGTATATTTACATACACACCTATTTTGATTTCAAATACATATGTATGCATAAAGGCCCATTGTGGCCCAAAATAATTGTACTATTAGAAATTAATAGTTGAGTAATTATTGAACAACATACATAACAACTTTCAGTAAAGCAAGGTTTAAGAGAATTGAATAGCTGCCTGAAAAAAAGCGATTTTTAATTTGATCTGAAACCTCTGCCATTTTACCTATGATACTCATTTACTAAAGCAAATTATCACTTAATAATAGTAATAACCATATATTGAATAAGAATGAGCTGAATTTATGCTTTGTACTCATTTTAAAGTGTATGCTTTACGTCTTTCTCTCCAATAATATTGTGGGGCAAATATCTCAACCCATTATTACTTTTTTCTTATGGCTTTTTTCTGCACTATTTAAATTATAAATTCACTGATAGCAGAAATGAATTGTAAGATATATTAAGAGCAGCATTTATCCAGACAAATGCATTCTAAACTGATCATTCGACTGGAGACATCCAACCAGCATCCTACTAGCTGAACAAGTCCCGGAGCAATTATCCAACCTCTTTACTGTGGCTGACCTAAAATGTTGTCAAGTTATATTAAAATAGGGCTTGCATATGCTAATGAGACATCTTCCCCTTGTGTTGTGCATTTCATACATACTTGCAACACTCTGTGTTTGTGTGTATGTCTCTGTGTAATCCCAAAATGAGTTGTACAAGACTGCAGGGCCCTCTGTAGAGATGTTGCATGTAAAAGTACTCTGTAGCAGGTAAAATGAAACATTGCTGCTGCAAAGGCCACTATCAGTTTGAATAAATACAACAGAAAATAATCCAGATTGCATAATCCTCTTTCAAGATTTAATAATAACCCTATGTGGGAAGGATTTTGAAATTAATTAATTAAAAATAATTTTAAATTATTAATTAATTAAAAGTAAATTAATGGTTAGTTACATTAATTAAAGGAATTAATATGTTATTGTTATTGGAGGTTCCCTTTCTCCCCACCAGTATGACTTTAAAATACAAATAACACAATGTTTAGAGAAATACTTTGCTGTGGAAGTAGAGATGGCCAAAGATTTAGAGTCTAAGGCAAAGCTTCAAAATTACACACACATTACAAAAAGGAATTCAGGAAAAGACTGAAGTGATTAGGACAATACATCAATGGAAAACTGATTTTCACTAAGCTTTCACATTGATTTCTGTGCAATCAAAATATTATTAACTTAATGTGGATTGCCACATTTTTGTCATGAAGTTGAGTTATAAATGATTTCCTTGTGGTCTTTAATCCAGAAAGCACTTAAAAGCAGGATTCCTTAGCTTCAGCTGCTGAACTACATTGTTTGTCCTCAGGCTGTACCTTAAACATTCAGACTGGAATAATGTCATGTTTTATTTATGAGAATTTAAAAGCCAAATTGGTTGTTGTTAGAAGTTAAGGTTGTATAAAATGAAACCAAAGGTATGCAGAAGACCAGTAGGGAAGGGCTGAGGAAAATATATTGGTGGGTTATCACTTTGAGGGATACAACTGATAACCTCTATCAGGAGAGATGCTTGACTGTCAGAGAGAAAATGCATTTATCTTCTATGCGACTGTATTTGAGTGACTTCATGAATTGTCTTCTCCCATTTATAAACTGAAATATGTATGTGTTAAGTAATGTGATTTCATTTCACATATGTCTTGCAAATAAAACATTTTTCTTGAGTGAAATACTGGTGAATTAATTCATGTTTATGTAAATAGGTGTGTATGCAACATAGACTGTAGTGGCTACAGTTTCAACCCTGTTTGTGCATCTGATGGAAGTTCCTATAATAACCCATGCTTTGTTCGAGAGGCATCTTGCCTGAGGCAGGAACAGATTGACATCAGACACCTTGGACATTGCTCAGGTACCTTTAACTTAACTTTTCAATAGTGATTATTTCACTAGACAATTGACTAGAAATAATGTTGTTTATATCCCAGATAAGGCTTTTTTGTGGTTCTGCTCCCATAAAATCACAGAATGTAGTGAAAATGTTGGCTTTCATTGAGAATTAAGAAGTTTTGTTTTGTTTTCATTGAAAAACACGTACCCATGTATATAATCAGCGTTTTTTTTTCTTGGTTGTGGTTTTCTTTTAAAACTTAAATGAAATACAAGAAGGTAGACTTGAAGGACTTGTGATCCAGGAAGCAAAATAAACTGTATAACTTTCTACAAAGGAAAGAAAATTACATAGTTATGTTTCATGTAATTTTATTAAAGATTATAATTACAGTAGTAATCGTAAGCACTGTTGCCATTATGTGAGGTTTGATGTATTTATTTATTTTAAATAATTCTTCAATATAAGCATCAGCACACTTGTTTTTCAATAATTTCATACATGGCAAGGCTCTTCCTCCCTTTTCTCCTGCCCTCTACTGTACAGTTTCTTGATGATTCATTGCTTACTCAAGGATCCTATGCTGTTGGGCACATTTATAAATATAGAAATATATATAAAAATATCTTGATATATTGGCAAGAAATGTACACCTATAAATTTCCAACGCTCTTCCCCCTCTCTACCTCCTCATATGCCATGCTGGAGGCCCATAGGATTCTGAATAGCTAAAGGAAAGCAAAATATTAGATCCACACATGTAGAGTGTAAACCAACTATTTTATTATATTCTGTCCATTATACAGGAATCTACTGAGACATCCAGCCTTAACCTGGTAACAGATAGATGAAGCTCTATGCAACTAAACGGGGGAAGGGGAATTAGTTCTGGATCTTTGTGGTTGTGCAATGATATGAAGTTAATTCCATCCTAAAGCCCCATCCTCCTGCTTGGCTGGGTGTTTCCCAATATCAAAGAAGTCAGTGGGAAAATGTTGAAATGGCAGTTGGATATGCTTCCATTATGGCAGTCCATAGCAGTGGCTGAGTTAATGCAAGGAACGAAAGGAGCTTGGAAGATCAAGCTGGTGAACTGATTGGTTGAATTGCCACATTTCAAATGGCTGTTTGATGTTACAAATAGCATAAGTACAGAAGGGAAGCTTGGTGGGCTAAGTGGAATTCAAGCCTTGTGGAAGGAACAAGGAGAAGATACTCAAATCCCATCACCCTTACCCTACTAAATAAGGTGTCTCCAAATTTTGTCTTGGTCTGGATCAAGCAAAATGTTCTTCTGCTGCACCAAGGCCAATCTGGGACAGCTGGAAGAATGTTTCTGAGACATAACATATTTGTTTCAATTTTGTACACACCTCCATGTATTTTCTAGGAAAGGCTTCTAGATTTAGAATTTGTATGACTATGGCCAGGTTAATGGAAGAAATGTCTCACTGCTGGAAAGTTACTTTATTAAAGGTACTTTAATCAACTCATTATCCAAAAGTCAGGTCACTGCACTTCCTCAGGTTCATCTTCCCTCAAGTTCTTCTTTGATTTCAGGAATAATCTTTTCATAAAATTCTATCCATGTTATTGTTGCCCTGGAGGATACACAAACGCACACCCCAACTCTCAGACTGCAGAATTTGTTTCTGAACTTCAAAATAGAAACTCCAGAGACTTTCTCTCATTGTAGGGAGTTCAAAGTATGAAGACAACATGAAGGAGAAAGCAACACTTTGATTCCTTTACTTGATGTTCCATATCTTCACTGAACGACAAGCATCTGAGGGCTTCAGATATGTTAATAACTTCTTATGTTGAACTGTATATCAGAATTTGCTTCTGCCTCTGTACAGAAGTTTCAGTGATGGAAATGTTTTTATGAAATATCCATGCATTATGCATTTCCAAAGCAAAACAGGAAAACACGTTGCTCCCAGTTGCTATATCTGGGCTACTATTAATAGTAATATTATTAACATTTAATATAATGGCAAACAGTATATACTAACGGTATAAACTATATACATGTTTATTATAAACATAAATATAATAAAAATATTTATGCTGTAGGTTTTTGTCTTTTACAGATTACAGAAATGACAGTTAGCTATGCTTGTTACTCTGCATGATTGATTAAGTTCCAGCTAGACCTGGGACAAGTTAAAAGAACTTAAGAGGGTTTTGAATTATTTGTCCTTTATTATCTATATTCTTATCCAACCAACTTCATCAGACATTGTCATTGTCATACACTTTAAAAAACATTTTTGCAACCATAGGAAGTTGAATCTTAGTTGATTTGGGATGCCCTTCTGTGCTGATGGAGAACTGTGGAGCATATATACTATGGGTCTGATTGAACAGACCTTATGATTGCATCTGGGACTGACAAGTTTGAACAAACAATATCAGGATATTAGGAGGTTTAAAAACTATAAAAAAAATTATTATTATTTAATAAATTATTATTTATTATATCCTCCAAACAACATTCGTCTGCTGGGTGTTAAGGTTAGCTTGAAATGGATGATTCTAAGGTAAAATACAGTATGATTTTATACCTTTTTGGGGGAGGGATGCCTTCAAGTCAATATTGATTCCTAGAAAGTCCCTGCAGGTTTTTTTGGGAAGCTTTCCTAGGACTGAGAGAGAGTGACTGGTCCATAATCACCCAGTTGGATTCATGCCTAGAGTGGGACTAGAACTCACAGTCTCCTGGTTTCTAGCCTCATGCCTTAAACACTATACCAAACTGGTTGTCAAGATTACACATTAAAAGTGGAATAACATGCCTAAAAGTTGCTATGTTTTTCACTGCTATACAGTGGTGGGAAGAATAGAAAAGTATAATATCTATGATGTTTTTTCTGGTTTTTCTAACTGCTGCTGAAATTAAACCTTAATAGATTGGAACAGTAAAAGCAGTCCTGGACAATATAATTGTTTTAGCTATGCGAGAGGAATATAATCCATATCATCTTTTATTTAACTGTTTCTTTTGGTTATTGTATATTAATAGTTGGTTAATACTTTTTTCTCTTTCTCCCAATAGATTCTGATGATTCCAACTTATTGGGAAAGAAGGATGATGGAATGCAGTATCGGCCAGATGTGAAAGGTGGGGTATTAATATTTACGTTAGCTTTTATGAGTAAATGCTAGCTATGGTATAGTAACTGAATCTTGCAAGTCTGCCTGCACCTCCTCTTCCTCATATTCCAGTGAATCAGGGAAGTGTTGGCCTGAGCCACTTGTTTTCCAGGACTTAAAGTATGCTTCAGACCTCTTTGCCTGGGTAACATTCTTGCATATTTTTGTCAAGGTCATCTTCTCTACTCTACCCATGATGTCCTTCAGTTGTTCTGGGATTTCTTAACTCACAATTGCCAGAGGGTAGCCAAAGACCAGGTTAAAAAACTGCAGGATGCAGCTTTTGGGAAGACCAGGCTAGGTAGAAGAACAGTGTTTTTTAATGTACCATTTTATGTACTATTAAGCATAGTTAATATGCGTAATGAATTAAAAGATTACTAATTATATATTATATAACTCATACTGGAAAGCATAGTATAATATGTAGTGCTACAGTGCTATGTAATGCTACTGTAAAATACTTCATACTTAATTAGGGTTGGCAAATTTCTTCTATAAAGGACCAGATCCCACCCCTCCACTATGGCTGTGGCTAGCAGGTCTCCAGGCTAAGAAATACTATTGGATGCCCCCAACATTTTAGCAAGGAGGCTGCTGATTGGTCACTACTGTGGCCTAGGCCTAAACCTAACCTTTCCCTCAGACTCACCCCTTACCCTGGGAACTCAGTTGAGGTTCAGACCTGGCAATCTGTTGCCCACCCTCTTGTGCTTTCTTAGCTTTTAGGCTAAGAAACGGTCTATTTAACATAGACCGTCCTATAGTGGAAAGAAGAAAATAATTTTCTGAAATTTGCAAATATTTACTTACAGGCTATTTTGCTTTTTTTTAATATTTGCAGTCTAAGCTTAAAGATTTACATCTTAGCAATATCTTCAGTATGCTGATCTAAAACAGGCTGTCCCTTCAGGCATAGAAACTTGAAGCTTTACTTCAAAGCCTTTTTAATTGATTGGTTGGTTTTGTGCCATAAAGTCAGCGTTGACTCTTAGACGACATAAATAAATTTTCTCCAGGAGGTTCTTTTCCCAACTTAATTGTTTATGTATTCTAAATAATTCACCCGTTGCCACCATGTTTGAGTCCTTCCACCTTCTTACTGGTCTTCCTCTTTGAAAGCAAGAGGATGGGGCATCCTTATTTTCTTCTCTCTGCTAATTTAATTTATCAGATTTATGAAGACCCCTTCCCCATACCCCCTCAAGCTTTCATAAGGCTATCCCCATGAAAGGTTGGTCCATATAATGGGGGAAAAATGAAAATCCAAATTTATGTAAAATAAATACTTTAAAATATATTAAAATAGCACAAAAGAGTACAATATATTTGGAGCTTGCAAGAACTCTTTATCAAGCAAAGTGTTAACCAAAGCAGGTTAAGAAGAAAAGAAAGTCCAAAAAAATCAGGCCTGGTATTTTAGACATGTTGAAGTCAGATAAAGTTAGGCCAGTTATAATTGACAATGGTGCAATCAGTGACTAAAGGATGACAGCTCTCACTCCAGTTTAGTAAACACAAAGATTGTCCTCTTGTCACATTGGTTTCATTCTGAATAAAAATGAACATTGTGGTAAACTTTCCTCTATCGGAAACTGTCCCATGACTAAAGTGATACACTTTTCCACAAGGCAATGAAATTTATTTTCTGTATAGCTAAATAGAAGTATTATTTTCAAATAGTGAGGTTTGTAACTACTTAGATCTATAATCCTTTGAACATTATTACTTTTTGTAGTAAAGGTACAAAATGGATCAAGCCAATTTAATCCACGTTAACATTATTCAACATTTTTATTTAAACCCAGTTTTAACATCTAAATCAATAATTTATCATTGTTACTTAATTAATATGGATACTACTTGTTTTCAGCATTGGATTTAACATTATTAGATTTTAGAACTAATATTACTATCTAAAATATGTAAATATTCATCTGAAACTTTGAAATTAAAATTCAAACAAATGTACTTTCATAATACTGCATGTGATATTTCTGGTCTAATAGAATTGCCCTTTCTTTCTATATTTTGGGAATATTTAAATTAAAGAACATAAGAATATTTATGTCAGATTTCCCCCCCCCCAAATTAATTCATTTAATTAAAAAAAAAATATTCTTTATTTTATCTTTGATGATAAATGAATAAATATGTTTAAAAAGTCTTATGTTTTAAATATTGCTAAAATAGCAGGTGAGGTGACAGCTTTATTCACAGATGTAGTATGCTTGTATTTTAGATTTACAGTACAGCCTTTTATAATTGTTTTAACTATATTCATAAAACAATAAGCCACCCTGCCTTATATTTTTGTTTCATACAAAAGATGCAAGTGATCAAAGAGAAGACATCTATATTGGAAACCATATTCCTTGCTCGGATAGTTTTAGTAGCTACTGCATCCATGGAAAATGTGAATTCATTTATTCAACACAGAAAGCTTCCTGCCGGTAAGTGAATTAGACTAATAAAAGCACCATCTGAAAATCTACATTTCCTGTATATTATTAAGTATGGTCCTGGGGGCAATAGTTATAGATAGGGTTTTTTTTTTTGATATGAGGTTCTCCTCTCTCATATCTGGATGGTTTTAGTCAAATCCAATGTTTTGTTTTTGTTAAGTTGTCCCTTTGAATTGTCCCTATTATTTTCTACCATTTTTACTTCTATGTAAACAGAGTAGATTCCATATAAAATTGTTTGAGCAAAACTTAAAGAACGTAACAGGGAAAAGAGGTAGGCGTCAGTGTTTTTTAAGAATGCCACTTTTGTCTGTTTTGGGGGCCATTGGTATACCTTATAATCACCACAGCTTTCTCTTGCCCTTCCCTCCCTCGGTTCAGGCACAAGGATAGTCAACAACCTGATGTTTTCACTAAAATTGAGTGTCTCTTTGTTTCTTTGAAATTACCAAGGGCTGACTGATGGCAGCTGTCAATTACTGGCAGGAAAAATGACAGAAGATCTATTTTCCTTCAGTGAAATTATAGATGATATAGACATAGACAGGGGCACAAGGACGAATCTCTAGAACTCTTAGTAGATAAAAACAAACAAAAGTAGACAAAGACATTCTCTAGCAACAGCACTTCCTGTTAATCTTTTTTAGCCCAGCCTGCTTAAACCTACCAAAAGCCTATTAATTTTTGCCTGTCTTCTTTAGATCTGCTAGGGAAGGAGAGCAAGTATTAAAAAATTGGGGTGCAAGGAATTATTATGGACGGTGCTCATCGTGATTCAGTTTGCTGCAGTTCAAGCTGGGTTAAGTTCAAGCTTGCATAAGTGTTCCTCGCCACCACCTTGGTTCACATACTTCTCCCTATTCCAATTAGTAGCCAGGAGCACATACGCATTTCTGTATGCCTTTCCGAACTTCTCTTTGCCTGGGGAAACTTTAGTAGCATTGCAGTTGATACTTTCAAATGGCATAAAGAGATGATAAAAAAATGGTGCTGAAATGTGCCGGAGAGGATAGAGGTATCATTTGAAGGCTTTGGCTCATTTCTCTAGCATAAATAGGCATGGATTGCAGTTTGTTTGTTTTTTTTTAAAAAAAGGAAGGGGGGAATCCTTGTCACTGTTAAATTCATGTTAGGTGAAATGTCATTGCTTTTTTTATTGATTAATTTTTAATTAAAGTTGTAACTATGCCTACAAAAGTTTTAAAAGCATTTGTGATTTTGTATTTGGATTAGCCTGGGTTGAAAATAATCAGATTAAATTATTAAAGTGTAAACTTTTTTCAGGTTTGGAGAAGTAGTAATAATCACGTTGCTTTAACAATAATTCATTTCCCGGAAAACCAAGAACTGAACCAATGTACACAGGGACCCATACACACTCACCTAGAAGACAATTTTAGGATAAAAAAGAGATTAAGGGAGAAGAAATAAATAAGTCTGCCAGTTAGTCTAGCATAAGTATATAAATACTGTGGTGATAGGTATACCCTAAAATAGCTGCTTCTAATCTTTTGCACTTTATCAGTCTAGAATATGCTCTTATTTTGTCTTTGGACATTTTAAATTTTATAAATTTCTGAACAATCTGTACAATATATTGCCACAAATCTCGGTGGAGCTTTATTAGTATAAAGGCTTTGAATCTTTCTCATTTGTATCATGTAAACTACAAAATAATGTGAATGTTAAAAAAATACTCCTTCAATCTTATAGTCATTTATTTTTTAATTTGAACTTGCTAGGTAGAATCTCAGAAAACATTCTTGAAACATATCATAATTTGCTAGAATATATGTTGAGTTTCCTGTCAAATTCAATAACTCATTGGAAGAAGAACAGTGATGGGTTATATATTCACAACAGAAACAGAAATTTAGAGAGGAATGACTTTCTTATATACTACACATTATATAACATAGTGTATTTAGACATTTGGAATATGGTTTGTAGTGAATGCATTATGAGACCAATTTTAAAAATAGACAAAAGGATTTGAAAAAAGATTAGCAGTAATCTTCAGTGTCAATGTAAAGTATTAATAAATTGCAGTCAACATTTGGGAAAAGAAACGGCAGGGAAGGGGAGAAGATAATGCTAAAAAATGTATATATTTTTTTTATGCTTAATTTGTAGTTTCTATTATCTATTGTTATTATCTAATATAGAGCTTTTTTTTTACTATTTTACTATTCTAACAATAATGTGTGTATATAATGAGTGTATTTACTACACACACATATACATGCACATACAGAGTATATATTATTATATATAAAATACTCCTAGGACTTTTACTTTTCTTTTTTAGGTGTGAATCTGGATACACAGGACAACATTGCGAAAAAACAGACTTTAGCATACTTTATGTTGTCCCGAGTAGACAAAAGTTCACTCACGTGCTTATTGCAGCAATAATTGGAGCTGTCCAGATTGCCATTATAGTTGCAATTGTTATGTGTATAACCCGGTAAGTTCAAAGGCACCACATCACAAGGGGCATCTTTTGTTGTTTTCTTGGTTTTAATTTTGTTAGGGTCATGATTTGTACTTTCCCACCTATTTTCTTAATGGATTGAGATAATAAGTGCTCTTGTTATTTGAAATGTGCTCTCTCTTCCACTCTCTTTCCATGGAAGTAGGTGTATATGTGTGAAACACTTATGCACATTCTGAGTCTATATATAGTGCACACATATGTTCTATTCTTATCAAGGTAAAATATTTAGGTAAGTATTCTTGATATAAATGTCACAAGATGCCAAAATCCTAAAATCAAACTTCTAATGTAGAAAAATGTTCGAATTAAAGCTCAGTGCAAAAGGTCTTTCAAATTTATTTACTAATTTATGGGTAGAGGAAGAAAGGGGAAAGAGAATTTCTCCAGCAATTTGTCAACACTGGAACCTCCACTTAGCAATGACAGCTACATTGCTATTGAAAAAAGCCAAAAGGTTTTTTTGGGATTTAATTGAAGCCTAGGATGCAAATCACTGGTGGTATAATATATAATGGAAGGTACAATTATATAAAGAAAATGAGCATGTATCCTTGGCCAATTTCTAATTAAATAAGTGCAAGAATAATATAGTTTACTCAGGGGAATTTTTCCTTTCAAATAATTTTGAAAAATGTTCTTTCATCAAAAGAATGAAATCTGAGGGGGGAAATTGAGAATTTCTCACTCTGGCACTAACTTGCATCCCCAATAGTATGTTGGCACTGAGATCTGAATCCATCAATACTGTATTGGATTCAAGATATTTCCTATCTGTTTGTTATCCTGTTTGCCTGTCCCCCTTTCTATATCATTGATCTCAAACTGCTAAAATGTTTTACAAGGTGGAATGTTGGCTTCATTCATCTCAGTTATTTCTAGGGGTGGAACAAGTACACCAAAGAAATAGAAGGGAAATCAGGCTCTGGAATATGATATATATACACCAGCCCTTCTTGTTCCTTTAATCCATGCTATGGCTTAAAATACCTCTACAGATTGCTGCTTGCTCATCCACGCCCATGTCAAAGATAGATTCTCTGTGGCCCTATTTACACTCACAGGATTAATTCCAATTCCTCATGGTGAAGCAACAATTTGAATCTCTCCTCTGTCTGTGTGAGTCATTTACTATGTGCTTGGATCTCGATATAATATTTTTTTTGAGCATATCAAGAACACATATGAAGTTGTAGATGCCTTCTCACCTGACTGAGTTGGGCGACTATAGAAACTGAATAATCCAATCAGTAATAAATAAATTTGTCAACTCAATTGCATGGTGTGGAGGAGTGAAAGAGAAGGCTGTCTGCTGTCAAACAAAGTAGTGCAGTTTTAATGGATTTATAAACTGGGTTTATGTTATCTTTGTTAGCCAGTTTGATGCAGTGATTAAAGCACCAGGCTAGAAACCAGGAAACTATGAGTTCTAATCCTGCCTTAAGCACAAACCCAGCTGGGTGACTTTAGGCCAGCCCTCCTCTTTCAGCCCTAGGAAACAGGCAATGGCAAACCACTTTTGTAAAAAAAACTTTTCAAGAAACTTACAGGAACTTGTCCAGGTAGTCACTAGGAGTCACAGACTGACTTGAAGGCACACCCACACGCATGTATTTATTCTATAGTTCTACATCTTATCTACTCTATAAAGTTGTGCTTATTGCTTCCCCATATGGATTGCATTGTTTTTCAAAAAACTGATCTCATACATCAGACAACCTGCTGGATAATAACTGTGCTCAAAATAGTTTTTTGCTTTGTATCCCCAAAGCTTTATCCTACAGCATTAACAAAATATAATTCAAAGGTCAGCACTTGCTTGCTTGGCTGGATGACATATGGCCAACATAAGCAATAAATTGCCCAGTACAGATTGTCTTCAGTTGCTGAAATTAACCCAGAACTAGTGAGTATGAAGGGTCTCCTACAGATAGAATGGACTTCAAATAAGTTTAGAATTCTCTTAACTTCTCTTCTTTGATAGCTGGTAGTGAATAGCATGTGTTCTAGTAACAAACTCAGAAAGAAAGAAAAGAAAAGAAAGAAAGAAAGAAATTCAAATAATTTTGAAGTTGTTCAATAAAGTTATCTTTTATTTCTCTTTCTGCTGATATACTAAAGCTGAAGTCAAGCAGTTTTACAAGCTCTTCAGCAATAAGGCTTTCCAGGAAAACAGTTAAAGGATCAGATTTGTGATATGCAGAAAATAAATATATTTGCCCATAAATTTAAATTTGGTGCATATTTATTCAGAAGTAAATCCCATCAAGTTGTACGAGCTTAATTTCAAGTAAATGTATTTAGGATTACAGCCTTTGATAATAAGCTTTGGATCTAGTTTCTCATTCTGGTATTTGACCATCAGTACTGATTGAAATACTGTTTTAGCCAAACAAGGTAATCGAGAGAGGCAGAAAGAGGCTATCCAGCAAAGCTAGTGAGCCTTAACTATGGTTAATGACGCCAAGCATGATTCATAGTGGCTTCTTGATTAAATGACTTATTTTTCTTCCTGGAATGTCTTGTTTCTCATTGTGTACGCTCATTTACAACTCCCCCAGATAATTCCAAGCAAAAGGAAGGAGACCCTCACTAGTTTCTGGCATCAAAGGATTCAGGAATCTGAGCTTTGACAAGTGTATAATACATAAATTTCAAATATTAGGAGCTGGCAATGGGTTCTACAGTATCACTGCATCGGGTACTCCATTCAAATGTATTCTTTGTAGAGGTTTTACATTCATTGTAGGTACAAAAGAAATACTAATTATCTTCTCTCCACAATAATTAATGTTTAAAATATTGTTTTCATCTATCACAAGGCGTAGGGACTATTAGAGTAACATAAGTGGAAGAGATAGGGTGGCATTCTTAGCTGTAGTATTGTGTATATTTGTTAATTCATTCCGTTAGAATTGACACTGTATCTTCCTTTCTGTCTATTTGGACATTCAAGCATTCTAACTAGGGAGTTTCCTGATTGGAGGGGGAGTAAAATATCTTGGAATATCTGGGGCTATAAAAAAAGGGGTGGGTGGGGCTGTATATGGAGGATGGTTACATGCCCTTATTAAATAGATACCAGAGAGCATCTCTTCTTCTTTTAAATAATTTATTTACTGGTGGTAGCTGCTGAAAACTTTTTTCCTGCACTGCTCCTGAGGCTCCCAATAGGAGGACTGGTTGCAATGGCTTTTTTGTTGCAATGTCAGTTTTAAACAGTTATTGTATTTTACTCCTACGAATGCCCAAGGTATCTAAGCTACTCACTTGTTGACTAGAAGAGCAAAGAAACAAAATACATACATACATGCATACCTGTCTTACATGATCAAGCCAAGACAATGGAGGAGGCGGCATTAAAATTGCAGGTCATGTTCATACGATATCTTGTTTAATAACTCACAGTGGCTTACTTAATGACCCAGTGGGAAGTGACATCATAAGCCTGTCACAGTAACATGATCTCACTGTCCGAAAGTTTTTCCTTATTTTCAAGTTAAATCTCTCCTTGTTCAGTTTCCATCCATTATTCCTTGTCTGGCCTACAGGCACTTTAGAAAATAGCTTGATCCCTTCCCCTCTGTGGCAGCCCCTCAAATATTGGAAGACTGCTATCATGTCTCCCCTGGTCCTTCTCTTTACTAGACTAGCCATGCCAAGTTCCTGTAACCGTTGTTCATATGTTTTAGTCTCCAGTCCCCTAATCATCTTGGTTGCTCTTCTCTGTACTTTTTCTAGAGTCTCAACATCTTTTTTTATAATGTGGTGAATAAAACTGGATGCAGTACTCTAGTAGGATGATGTGCAATAAGAAGTGGTCTTACTAAAGCTTTATAGAGTGGTATTAGTACCTCCCTTGATGTTGATTGTATTCCTCTGTTAATACAATTTAGGATTGCATTAGCTTTTTGGCGACTGCTGCGCACTGCTGGCTCATATTTAGCTGGTTATCCACTAAGACTCCAAGTTCCCTCTCACAGTTACTGCTATTGAGCCTGGTTTCACCCAATCTATATTTATACTTTTGGTTTATTTTGCCTAAGTGTAGGACTTTACTTTTCTCTACATTGAATTTCATTTTGTTAGATATGGCCCAGTGCTCTAGTCTGTCAAGATCCATCTGGATCTTGAGCCTGTCTTCTTGGGTGTTAGCTATTCCTTCCAGTTTAGTATCATCTTGGTAAGTTCCCCTTCTATTCCCTCATCTAAGTCATTAATGAGGTTATTGAAGAGTACTGGGCCTAAGATGGAACCTTGTAGCACCCCACTGGTTACCTCCCTCCATGTACACTTAGATCCATTTAGGACTATTTGTTGAGTATGGTTTGCCAGCCAGTTGCGAGTCCATCTAGTGGTGGTGTTATCTATTCCACTTTTTTCTAGCTTACTAAGAAGTAGGTTGTGGTCTACTTTGTCGAATGCCTTGCTGAAATCTAAATATATTGTCCACAGTATTTTGCTAGTCTACTAATTTAGTCACTATGTTGAAGAATGAAATAAGATTGGTTTGGCATAATCTGTTCTTAACAAAGCCGTGCTGACTGCTAGTTGTTACTTTACTTGTTTCTAGAAATCGGCAGGTCTGTTTTTTTTTAATTAGTTGGGACTGCACCGTTTAGCAACAGAAATAGCTGGTCCTAATTGTGTCACTAAGCCAGGAGTACCTCTAATTATGAAAAAAAGCTTTTAAATACTTTGGTTTACTGACTCATTTTTCTCTCCTGCTTGCTTCTGATAACAGGAAATGTCCCCAAAACAACAGAGGACGGCGGCAGAAGCAAAATTTAGGCCACTTTACTTCAGATACGTCATCCAGAATGGTTTAGCAGCATTTTTTATACCTACATTGACCATGTGATGTACAATTTTATTAACTTTTTTTAAAACAATGGAATATTTATTTCAGAGGCCTTATTTTTGGACATTTTAATTATTATTGTTATTATTATTGTTTTTAGTGTAGCTGTCTCGTTTTATTCCAGGAAGCAGCTAACAGCTATGGACTGCTCTAGTAACTTCTCATTTCATGGTTTGAGAAAGATGTTAGTTTATTTCTTGTATTTGTATCCCATGGTTATATTGATAAGACTTATGCTTTAATCATGGAATGTAAGAATTTTGAAAGGAGAGACGTTTCACCAATGGTTATTCAACAAATGAAAATGGAGCCCATCATGTTTCTTAGCAAAAAGGGTAAAGATGTTTACAACATACTTTTCTTATGAGGAACTAGAAGACACTGTGTTTAAATACCGTAGATATTTAAATGTTTTTAAAACTTAGTAATGGATTTTTTTAGACACTGCCAATCGCATGAAATGTGGATATGTGTTTTTGTGTGTAGTTGTAACATTTAGAATGGGCTGAATCCAGGTTAAGTTAGCTCTATCTAGTGCTCATAAGAATCAGTGGACGAGTTAATCTAAATTCCCATTGTTTTCAATGAAAACAAATTGTTCAATTAACTTAGAATGCAATCCTATACATCTGTACTCAAAAATAAGTCCCATTCAGTTTAATGGAAATTATTCCCAGGTAAGTATGTAAAGGACTGCCTCTTTAGTCTGGATCCAATCCAAGATATATGGCCCAGGTTTCAGTGCCATTTTCTTCATAAATAGCTGACACTTTTATTTTTAAATTGTAAAATAATAATTATAATATACAGTTCATTATTCGAAAAACTGCTCAGCTGAGCAGAGCACATTTGTCCTGGAGAGACAAATATATTGTTTTTTTTTGTTATGAATTATGTTAATAATCCACATACCTGATTGGGATGTAGCTGTGTTAGCCACTGTTTAAACAATTTTCATATTTACTACACTTTTCTAAAGAAGATACCTGTTTTCACATCAGCAAATACAATTGTATAGTCTTTGTGATTAAAATGCAAAAAAACAAAAATAGTATAAAAGATTTTGTGCTCTTGTCAAGAATAATTTCAAGAGCTACGAATGTGTCTCCCCAAAAAGTCTGCTGGTTGTATTTATTATATTAATAGGATGTTAGTAATTGTTTGGAAGATTCAGAGCTAAAATGTAACTAGGGTGTGTTCCAACTGTTTAACATGTAGTTTTAGGCTTCCCAATTCTGCATGTAGGAATAAATAATTTGTTCAATAAAAAGGCTTTGAATATTTCAACTGGAAAGATATGCCAATGCAATGTTTTCTTTTCTTATTTAATCTGTCCCAAATGCATTTATTCATTATTGTAAGGAGCAACATGTGTGCTTGGAAAGAAAATGGGAAATGTCATTTCAATTGCAAAGCTCTGTTAGAAAGCATTGATCCTCTCCCTACCACCTGAACACAAGAAAAAAAATATTAACATGGATTTTAATAGACCGTGGGTTAATTCTTTGATTGCTATATTGTTTGCTGTTCCTAGATTAACTCAGATAAGTTTATGGTTATATGAGTGTGCTTCTTTCAGTGCATGTTCCTTTCCCAGTGTGCTGCTTCCTAATTTTAGAGGGTTCATATTGCACGAGGCACTTGAACAATCAGGCGTGGCTATTTTGTGGGTATAAATATTTGACAAGTGTCTTGGGGTGGAGTTTCAGAGCCTGCTTTTGAACATTCTCTTAAAGACAGCTGTCGAGCAACCTTCTTGCATCAGTGCCAGGATTGTCCCACTGAGGTTTGAACGGCTGTTATATTTCAACTCCTGCAGACTGATCCAAAGACGGGCAGTATGGATCATCGTGCAGCACAGGAAATAGATAAAATCCACCCAAATCGCCAGTCGAGCATCACGGATGATGAAGAAGAACAAGATGCTGCGTTTACCATTGTCAGAGTCCTGGACAAGGTAGCCACCATAGTAGACAGCGTGCAGGCCAGTCAAAAACGGATTGAGCAGCGCCACAGAGAAATGGAAGATGCCATCAAAACCATTCAGATTGACATTTTAAAGCTGGCTCAGGCCCATGGCAACACAGGATACACAGTTAACAAGCTGTTGGAGAAAACACGCAAAGTTAGTGCTCGGGTCAAAGAAGTGAGAGCCCGAGTAGAGAAGCAGAATGTTAATGTGCAGAAGGTGGAGACCAAACAGGAAGAAATGCTGAGGAAAAACAAGTTTCGTGTTGTCATTTACCAGGTAATCCTTTAAAAAAAACAAAAACAAACGGCTATTACCTGCTATTGCAACTTCACACTTTCTGGTTTGCTTAACAATCCAAGGAACGTGTTTTTTTTTTAAAGCCCTCTCCATCTCAAAATGTGTTATGCTTTTTGGTTTTCTAGCATTGATTTTTTGCTTCTGAATGTGCTGGAGCTTGAATCCACTGGTGGCAAGGCAGGCAGTCTATTATTGGTTCGGGAAGTCTCTCAGCCAGCCAACATAAGATTAAGTGTAGATCAGCAAGACTATGTGTTGCATCTGTGAAAGGCAATCTGAGGCAGGCAGTTGGGTATCATAACTAGTATTCCAGGCATGACTGTTGTCCCTGTTATTTTTTCAGAGGGTTAAGTAGAGAATTCAGCCTCAGCAATTCTTTGCACAGTGTAGTGCTTCCGTTAATTATGAGGTATTTTCCCCCCTTTTAAGAGCTGAGTTGTGTTTTCTTTGCTAACCGATTGCCTTTAGTATAAGTATACTATCTCTTTGCTGTTTTTCCACACAACAGTTTGCTTCCAAATTCCCTTTCCCCCCCAAAGAAATATATATATTTTGTCTAAAATAAACAAAAACAAAATCCTGGCACTTAAATGGACATCTCAAAATAAGGTGGGAAAATAAAGTTAATCCCCTTGCAAAATTCAAAGGGTCTATTTGGAAAAGAAGTGAACGGTCCCTGTGCTATTCAGAATGGTTCTGTCCTAATCAAAGTGTTTTTGCACATAACACTGACTTTTTATCCTCTGTTCAAATAATTAATATTGTGCTTAGTTGCAGGGGCATTGAAATTGCAAATGCAGTAGTGTATTTAAGAATCCCAAATCCTGTTAGAGATTCAGACTCCTTCCTTCTGCTTAAGGTCATCAGATATTACACTGTCTTCACTTTTGGCCATTGGAATATTATATTCTTTTCAAAGAATAACAATTGCAGTGGGGAAAAATATTGCAGTTTTGTTTATTAAAATGCTGGAAGACACATAAAATGCTTTCATTTGTGTAATTTTTTAATACTTTGAGGAAGTTGACATATCACATTCATTGAAAATGTGATGTGCTGCACTGGAAACAAATAGTGGGGAGAATCCAATCTAAATATTTTTCAGCTACAACTCATTTGCTGCAATGCTGAGCCCTATTGAACTCATGTTTCTTTCAAAATGAGAATTATAGATGCTTGTGTAAACTCTTCCTTAAAAGATTAAAAAATAAATTTATCAGTTCTTACTTTGGCTGGATTGTTCCACTGATTGCACTGAAATAAAAGACATGGGACTTCGGCTGTCACGTTTGAGTATGGGGAAAAAATTATCATCTTGCATTACTGTTTGCTTTTATTTTTATTGTGGATGGTATGGTTCACTTATAAAAGCAATAAATTCTAGTCTTGGGTACATTTATGTGCCTCTCGCACATATGGACTTTGTTGCTGTAACAGCGAAACTCAATAAATTATGTATATGTATATTCATTCTCTGAATTATGCTAGCATGTCTTGATTATGAAATTTAGAAATGTCATCTCTAGTTATGTCTGTTCTTCACAGAGTAAGATCCAATATTCAGGAAGCAGAATTAATCATCGCTAGATAGGGCATAAATAGCCAAGTGGCTGAATGGTCGATCGGCTTAGCTTGGCTTAGCAATATGTTTGCATTTCCCATGATGCTTAGCAGATGCCCCAACTCCAGAAGGAGCAAATTTGTACCAAAACACAGAAGAATAGTGGACAGAGAGAGTTGATTAATATTGAAAGCACTTTTGCCAAAAGTGATTGATCATCATTGAATGTGGAGTTCGGTAGAAACCAGCAAACATCGTCCTTAGTTGCCAATTAATTGATTATTCTCTCCTTCCTTCAAGAGATTTAGTTGCACAATTGGTCAACAATCTTACTTCACTGAGAAGAATATTGAATGTCACATTGACTTAAATATTATTTAGATTTTTGTATAATGTGCAAGAGTTCAAACTCTTCAGATTAAAATTTGTTTTGTTGTAATTTTGACAGGCTTGAAAAAAGTTGCTTAGTATCATTGGAGGAAGCAGTAGTTGAGCAATTAATTGAGCTATAGTTAATAGCCTCCAAACAAATCAGGATTTAAAAACCAGTATTAAGCAATAGTTTTATATTCTGCTCTATTTGGGAGACATTGCTCTTACAGATAATTGGAAATTGATTGTGGCTTCCAAGCATAATTTTTTTGAGTAGAGACAAGAATAAAGTGATTGCATACTTATGAATTAATTTCATATGATTTGCTTAGCTGAAAGCAGCCATTTTGTGGGATTTTGTTGAGGATGGATTGATTTGCCGCAAAGCCATGTTTAGTGATAACAAGAAACTACAGCAAGACATATTTGTTCTTTCCTAGAAGTTGGGAGGGAAGGTTACATTTTCAAATCTGGGTTGGATAGACATGGTGCTTCTTATTTCAATTTCAAATCTGGTTAATCTTAACATTCGTTTGTTTCAAGAAACATTACTTCAAACTTAAAATCAGTAACAGCATAATTAAGGAACTCCACCTCATTTTCAGGTTGGTGCATAGTTTTGGTCTATATTCTTTTTTCTTTTAATTTTGAAAAAAGGAAAACTATCGCATTACTTCATTCTATCATGTACTTTATACTTCTGTCAGAAACAAATGAATTCTGGCTTACTTGTTCATCATGGTTCAAGGATCAACATAGTTACATTTTCTCTGGAAGAACTGAGCCTGCTGAACTAAGCAAATTATTTTTTTTTCTCCAAGTTTTGAGTGAAATGTTAGACAATATCTCTAAATCTTTCAGAACTGGAATTATTTGCTGACCTTTCCTGAACGTCCCTTCTGATGCTGTATGTTCCATTAAGGTGCAGAATATCTTCCAGGAGATTCTAGGGATGTGTGATACATAAACACAAAGACCCAGGTTCATTCTCTGACATTTTCAGATGCTGGGAGATAGTGCTTAATCTCCAGAACATCTTTGCATCCAGGCTGCACTCAATGTCTCTTTGTGGGGGGAAGATTCCAGCAGCCTTGAAAGAGGCTTAATTGAAATAGTATGGGATTTATCTTCAACCTCTTTTGGGTCCTGTGACAACCAGGTTTTAGACTATATTATAAACTCCAAATCATATTGGCTAGCCTCATGGATGACCTGTGGCAGGACTTTGGTAGGAGGAGTATGACAATCCATATTCTACTAGATTTCTCAATAGAATCTTTTGGGGCTGTCTGAGATCCCATACTCGGAAGATTCTATTCCTTGAGTGATTGGTTGTAACTAGGTGGATGAGGAGAGGCTGGGCCTTAGAGCACTCCAGTAGAAGATGCCACAGTATTTCCCTTGTCCTAGTGAAAATCTTCGTGATGCCCCTGAAAGAAAGAAACTGCCAGGTATCAGTGACATTATATTACTCGACTGGGAATCTCCACAGCCAGTTGAATGGAGAATGCAATGGGAGTTCTAAACTGCTAACAGGAGGATGGCAGGGTCTGGATAGGGAGAAAGAGGATCAGTTGCACCCTGAGAAAGATGAGGTGGCTATTGGTTCTTTTAGTCTCACGCAATAGTTCAGTCCAAAAATCAACTCCACAGAAGGCTAAAACTACCTTTACTGAAAGTAAATATAAAAACAAAACTTACAAGTCTTGATTCTGTTGTCAGGTAGTTCTCCACTTATGGTCACAATTGGGACTGAATTTCCATCACTGAGCAATACTCTCATTAAGCAAGTCATGCTGATTTTAAATCTTTTTTTGCCACAGTTGTAAAATGAATCACATGGTCATTAAGCAACTCCACTCTCCACCATTGTTTGTTGGAAGCCCTCTGAAAAGGTGGTTAATGGCGATTTCTTGACTCGGGGCTGCTGCAGCTCTTGTAAAAACATGTGGTTTGCCTCACATGCCCATGGGGATGCTGCAACAGTCTTAAGTGGGAGGACTAGTTATAAGCCACTTTTTTCAGTACTGTTGTAACTTTGAATGGTCATTAAACAAATGGTTGCAAGTCAAGGATTTACTTCTCTTTTTAATTCTGTGACATTAGGAGATACCTGTCTGTACCACTTCAAAATGTTAACACGATGTTCTGGATTAAAACCATATTTAATCTTGGCAACAAAGCTTACATGTTTCTATCAATGTCATCTTCCTTAGTCTCTACATCTGAGAGGCCTAGCAATTCTGGAAAAGTACCAACTTTGTCTTTCAGTTGACTTATGGTCCCAAGCAGAATCCAGGGTGATAACTTGTGCTGCTCATGGACTCAAAGTCCTGCAAGACTAGTTGGAAACCA